GACTCTACAAAACACCACCCTACTTGGAACAATTTATATCCTCCGACATCACCTTAACAGTACCTAGGTCCTTGGTTAGGACTCGAGCTGTTGAACTACCAACCAGCCCCAAAGGCTGTGAATCTCACCAAAGATTAACCACATAATAATTTAATGCACGTATTAGCATTTACTGCATTTTAATTACAATATATGTTTTTTGGCATCTTTGATATTTTATTTAAAGACATAATGCTATGAATTCTAATCAAAATTACATTTTCTTGAGATCATACTTACCCATCACTTTTCTCTACAAGGCATCGGACGTATTTGCTCCCGATTATCTTTATTACAGTCTCGTAATTTGCACCAAATCCATAAGGTAGGTTTCTTACTGAAGCCATTCCCAGTTCTGTCTTGCTCTCCCTAAAAGATCACTTTCCTGTAATTTCCCTGGATAAGTTTATTTCTTTAAAAGTGGAAACTGAAAGTGGGTAGACAGGTTCTGCAAATAGTTTAGGAATATATGAGTATCAATTAACTCAGTAATGAAATAACAAAAACTTGGCTGAAGAGTTTATCAATTAAATGCCTTGTTTAAAGGAAGCCCAGGGAAGTAAATTAAGTGTGAACAAATTTAAAAGGCTGTATTTTTCATATCATACATTTATCCTGAAAGAATTTCCCACACCACTTGCCCAATTCTACCACAATAGCAACATTAGTTAATAATTTGAGATTTATATTGTGCCCATATTGGGATTCAGCTTGAGAAGCAACCAACCTACAGGTTGCCCTGTAATTGATATTAGATTTTCATAATAGTTGCATCTAAAATTTCATAATTCTGCATCTAAAGAAATGACTGCTGTACAGTGTAATTCTATGATACTCCAAGAAGCAGTAAGGACTCTTAAATTCAATGGAACTTTCTTGTAGTGAAACCTCTACAGGATTTTAACTTTAGAGGTTTTCCCAGTCTTATTATTTAAATATAACTGCAAATGTGACATAGGAAAATAATTTCCTTCTAAATACCTTTTGTCGTTAATTAACAGTCTGAAAAAAATCACCCCCTTTTTACTTTTCAAATTAGTAGCGTTTGCAGCAGTTAATAACAGAACAAAACAATGGAGCAAATTATCACCCCCAAATTCTTCAGCTCATTGACTCTGTCATAAAATTTCAAATTCTCCACTTAATCCCAATAATTTATTATAGGAAAATAATTTAACTTTTTAGTATATTGTTATATAACTATAACAATAATAGAGACAATTCCAGGCTGCTTTCATTGATGGATGACCATCCACCCCTGTCTTGCAGAGACAACAAAAGATTAATTGATCCCAATTGCCCTTCTATCATTTATTGGCCACCTATGGACTCCAGAAATTTACAGAGCCCCCTTTAACCCCCAGACATTTATTACCCCCTTAAGTAATCCTATCAACCATTGTGGGTTGATACTGACCACTTTGGGGAACCAGCTTTAGAATCTTAATGGTAGAAAAATACTACAAGCCCAGGCTGTCTTGGGTTGTATTTCTTGGCAAAGGTTTTCCAGAAAATACTTAAAAAGTCTAGGAAATGTCTCCAGAACTCCCAACTTCTTCATATAATGCTGGAGTAAACTTGAAGTACTTTTTTTTCTTTTTCCCCTCATAATGACATTGCTTTACTATAGTTAGCTTTCTCTCTCTTCCCCCGATACCAGAGCTAGATTAATACAATGTTTTCATAATATTTCCATGGAAATAATCAATTAGAATTTACTAAAATACCTAAAGTCTTTGAGATGAACTCAGTTCCTGTTGACTTCATGGACACGTCTAACTCCATGTAGCTTTCTTGACATCACTATTAATTGTCTTGCTGTTGCCTTCTGTTAACTTCTCAATCTAGGTTCCAGTATTCCCTAGAAGATTCCTGTCCATGAAACAATCAGATCTAACTCACTTTCCCCTTTCACGATTAGTTCACAAGGATCCAATTATCTTATTCTGAACGGCCTAATTGCATCCTCACATAGATTTAACTTTCCCTAAGTGTGAGATAGCTTTTAAAGAAAGTTTGTCATTTGTTCCCTTAAGATCACACTCAGCAAAAAGAAACAACACTCTGTCCTTAAGCATATGTTTTCCTTTCTCCCTTTCGGGTTTTGAGACACCCACCTCTGTGCAGTCTTCAAAAGCAACAGGCAATCAGCCACCATAAATGAACTGCTTTTCACAATCACCATAGCAAGGAAGCTGCTGTTACTAAGGACGCAGTGTATTGTTGCTGGGCTGGGCAGAGCTTGTCATTCCATAGTCAATGCAGTGAGAGGCGTGCATTTCAAATAATTAGATTAGCAGACTGTAGGCTTAGTGCATGCAATACCAAAGGGCTCAAAAGGGAGGTGATCTTTTTTGCCTATCCACATGGTTGGCAAGCAAAATCTTTCTCTGAAACTCACAGATTGCAAAGGTTTAGAACAACAAAAAAAGCAGAGTCTGAATGGTGTGGGCAAATCAAGAACAGTTCATCCCAATGAATGTAACCTTTACCCCAATCCTTAGACCACAATGCTCAGATGATGAACAAATGCAGTAAAGATCAGTATTATTTACTTGAATATATTAGCCGCCCGACTCTAATGGACTCTGGGCAACTAATAAATGGTCTTTTTGGTCCAAACAGATTAGATCAAATGTTGCCATCCTTACATTATTGATCAATCAAAAGTGAGCTCTAAGGATTTAATGGAATTGAATTCAGAATTACATACATAGTTGATAGGTTTGTGGAGATTGGTTAGAATTTAAAAAGGCTAAATAAAAAGAGTTGAGAGGAGTGCTATATCCATTATGAAGCAAAAAGTTTAGAAGTACAAACAAAAGTTTTGATGTGGGACATAGTTAAGTCCTAGCTTAACTATTTTAAAATTGGATGGAATTGTCTGTTAATGACAGTTCTATGATAATTGTAGGCAGATTGAGCTTTATATAGGAATAGCAATAGCAATAGCANCCTACCCCTGCATGAGTGACTGTCCAAAGGCTTCCTAGTCCAGGAAAGGGCATATCTGGTGCAGTAGATGGATTTGTATAAACATTTTCCAGGCTACAGTTGTCACCTCCTCATTGAGCAGGAGCGTTGAGTCCAGAAGTACTCTTGAATGGGCAGGTGCTATTCCATCCAAGGTTAGAGATGGAATATTTCCAGATTCAGCTGGCCCTACTATCCACAGCTACGAAGTCTTGGTAGGATTGAGTCAGAGCCAGGTATTTTAGACCCTGAACCTGATCCAAAAATGCAAAAATGTGCTCTGACAAACTTACTATTAACAGACACACTGATATAAGCTCCATCTACAGACCATTTGAAAAAGGAAGCAAATGAAGGCCAAGGAAAGAGGCAAGCATCTCATCCCTAAGCATATCATGCCTATTAACCAATGGTAGACAAGCAAGAATCAGCCCTAGCTAAACAGAAAAAACACCAGCTCAAGAGCAATCAAGGAAGGAAAACTATTTCAATCAAGACTGATAGGACAGGGTACCAGAAAAAAACAGCCATCAGACTTTATTCTTCCATACACTGAGACTACTAACCATGTTAGTTCCTCAAGAAAAGATTCATGAGGAGGGAACTCCCCCACCATGAATCTCTAATCCTGCAGAAAAAAAACTCTATATTCTACATTATATTCTTTCTAGTATTTATTATTCCCTTAAACCTCCCCTTCACCAAGTTAAATAGACTTAGTTCTTTTATATTTATACTACAGAGGAACATACTTGTGGAAGGGAAGGGAATTTTTTACTACTAAATTGGAAAGCAAGTGTGATTCTATTAATGAAGTCTAAAGCTTCATTAAATTTGATGAGTTTCAAAACAGTTGAGTACCAAGGTACCACTGACTGTATGTGTAGACATTCATTTTTTTCTCCCTTCAGATTATTCACCAGTCATTCCATATATGGTACTCAGTCATTTTTCCATTTCTAAGCAAGGAAAATATGCCATTCTTAGGGCCTTTAGATTGGGGTGTTAGTTGCAATAGAGAAAAATATCTCCCAAATTGCCAGTTGCTTTAAAAGTGATAGTGTATGCTTTAAGGACAAAAGTATGTTAGGTGATTTTAAACAGAAATTCATACCTGTTGTAGACCGTATTAGGAAAGCAAAATAAATAAATGATAAACAAATCAGCAACCAGTGAAATTATGAAACGATTATCACGGGGTAAACAATTACAACAAATGCTAACCTGATAATCGTAATACTAATCAGTGTGCAATTATTAATTATTCCCTTTAGAGTGTAGAAGCACTGCAATTAACCAACAGCTCCAATGGGGATGGGGGGGTGTAGAAACATTAATACTGCTGTAAATGTGTGATATGGTATACCAGCATTGTAACTATTGTATGATGATAAAATTGGCATCTTGACTTGTCACAAAGATGATTTAGGGATCTGTTATGGATCAAAGGTCTTTGCAGTCAGAGTAGAAACCTTTCAACCTGTTGCTAGCCTTCCTTCACATAAATCAGGTATACCATCATCCAGACTGAATATTTTAATGCTAATTCATCAGTTGGATATGTGAAGCCTGAATCCTTCTAAATATTTTGGGCTACACTTTCCATCATTTCTGATTGCTAGGGAGACTGGGATTGTTGCTGATCATCTTATAGTTTGAGAAGGCTGGAACAGAAAAACAAATGTGATTGCTATGAAATGTGAATCAGAGTATTCCATTTAAATATTATCTTGGAAGACATGATGATGTCTGTTCAGTAGCTTTTGAATTCTCTTTTCTCATTAGTTTGGGACTAATCATACTTCTGTGTTGAACTTTCCAAATTTCTTCACATTTCATGTGAAATAACTGTTGATTGTCTTGCTGAAATGTTTATGAAATCCAAACCCATTCTAGCTGACATTTCTCAAACTATAAAACAAGAAAATGTGCATTATGTCAACATCATATAGAGTGATCTATAGCTATCTAATCTCTCTCTCTCTCTCTCTCTCTCTCTCTCTCTCTCTCTCTCTCTCTCTCTCTCTCTCT